CACCAGGGTCAACTGCGGGAGGTGAAAGTGGGAGAAAGGGGAGACTCAAGCGCCAAGGAAGATATATGGAGACAGAAATGGAAGATAGCACACTTTGCTGTATGTTTATTAGGGGTTAGAAAGTAATATAACGAATCAAATGGGAGAAGATCGTTTGAAGTATCCCGGGCCCTGGTAGCCGCTGCTGGGCTCCTCCAAACCTCTAGACATTCCCAAATGGGGATTTGCCAAATAAAAGGGACCTCACCACTTGTCCCCGTTGTGGCCCTTGTGAGGCAATTTAATATAATTTGACCAGGGGGAGGATACAAACTCAACAAGAAGCACTTATTTTCCTTCTTGCTGCTCTCCCTCCCCTCATCCCAGTACTACTTAAGCTATTCCATCTTCTAAATCTTCTTCCCATCTTTCTCTTTCCTCTCCTTATACCTCTACGGTCTTTTTTGTTTGGGGTTTGGTTTTCTAACTTTCTCACTTTGACATATATTCAGTGTTCACCAGCCTCCCCATGTTCCTCTCTCTCAAATACAGTGTCTCTTCTTTCCTCTCTCACCTGGACAGATTCTCAGGAAGAGACAAAGACAAGGGATAGGGTGAATTCATGACTCTTCCTACTGGCCAGAGATGAGTTCATTGTTTTAGGGGAAAGGATGGTTATTCATGACTGTGTCTTTTGCCTGGAGGAATTATGAGATTAGTGCCCCCACCCCACCCCCCAGCAGTGTGTATGCTTGTGCAACTGAAAATGGAACCAAAGGAAACCTCTGGGGAAAAGGTCAGACTTGGTCTAAGTGACCCTTCCTGACACTTTCTTTGGCTGCTGGTTTTTCTGGTCTTTGGAGTCCTGAAGTTTCAACAACACATTCATCTCTTCAGCCCATTACTACTTCAGCTATTCTATCTTCTACCTCTTCTTCCCATCCCTGCCAATCTCCAGGGATTGCTCTCTTATTCAGAATTTCCATATTTTATTTCTGAAATCCCTAGAGTAGGTGATCTTCAGGACAACCAAGTTTAAAATCACATACAATAGATCAACAGTTGAGCAACCACAGAAGGGCTTAAGAACTGGTAGCTACATTCCCTTTGTCCAGCCCCTGCCAACATCACAAAGCAGTGTTGTGTATTTACAGTACTGTAATCAAATCTGGAGGTTACAATGTGGACAATAGTTACAGCCTGTACCACCTGACCAATAAAAGATAGAGAGAAGCTGCAAACATTGCCCTTCATGGCAGGAATTGGATTCTCTTTTAAAGTCAAAGGTTGCTATTCCCATAGGAGCTGAGTATGAGACTTCCATTGATGGTGCTCCCACCACTAGAAACCAGTGGAAAGCATTTAAATGGGATATTCTCAGTCCAGGATGCAAGCAACTTTGGAACTACTACATCTTTCAATGGATCTGAGTATCATGCCTCTTAGCTATATCAGCCAAAAGCTAGTACTATTCTTTCTGAAAATGCTGTTGACTTCCTCATATATACAGCTAAAAATATTTGAGGATTGCTCTGTTAAATTCACACCATGCCTATATATTAGTGATTGATTTTTTTCTGGCTGTCTTATCTTACATTAGGGGCAGAACAATGCCTTACAACAATCCAAGAGAAGTTGCTGCTGGAAACAGCGGTTCTATATCAGTTCCCTTCAAGTGGAAAGCAGTGAAATGCAGCTGGACTGGGAAATGTAAAGTATTAATGATGTCAGACTGCAGTGTAAATTGAACTAAACATTTTAAAGGGGAATTTGAAACCGCTATTTACATACAACTTTAATAACAAAAGCACAGGACAACTCTCTTTTAGCTTCATCAAACCTGGGTCCTTTTTGCCTAAAATTACATAATACAAAATATGCTAATGGAGTGTGCATTCCTGATATTAGTTATTGTCCTATTGATTTATTGGTACTTATGCACAACTCATTAGGTGCAGGCCTGCAGCATTAATGACTAGTATCTGATAAATTGCAATCATTAGTACCTGATAAATAACTATGGTTGTGAAAACTTTCTTGCATGGGTATCTGTATGAAGACCTATGGATAAGAATTTTCACTGGGTTAATAAATCCTGATTCTCACAAATGCCCATGAATGCATGCCTGCTTCATTTGTTCTCTTCCTGGGAAGTGATGAGACCCTGAAGCCAACAACAGGCTTGTCTACACAAGGACGATTGATTCAATTACACCAGGCAATTTAACACATCACACAAATTACTTTACTATTACCATGTGAAGACCAGAGGGATAATGTAAACAGCATACATCTCCAGATTATGATCATTCTGGCTGCAAATCTAATACTATATACTATGTATTTTTATTGTAAATCTTAGCTAAGTATCTGAAATAAACTCCTAATGATCTGTTCCTTCGAAAACAAAACATTACCCTTTTACAGACTGCATTGCATATATTTTAAAAACACTCTATATTCTACCATCTGAATACTATATGATCTTCTTATCTGCAGGGAATATAAACTTTGTATTGATACATGAAACCAGGAACAATAGTGAACCCTATTGAAATGAAGAGCTATTAGTCCAAGACTACCATATAGACATACTTGAAGACCTACAAACTACCTAGAGAGGACATATTTTGCCAGGTACAGATCAGTGAAACTGCTGATACAGGTCTCATGGATACAGGAGTTGTGGTGTACATCTCCCCCCCCCCCTTCCGCTCCCAACAAGAAAATTCAATTAGACCCATGTAATTGTGACCAATAGTTTATTTATGTATCGTGTCAGGAGCAGGCCAAACAGTTGAACTGCATTTTTTAACAAACAAGCAAACACAACACAACACAAAGTTTGCAAGCTTGGTAGTTGATTAAATGTACTTTGACCAGTAGCTGGCCACTTGGAGTGCCTCTGGTGTTACTATAAGAAGGTCCTCCATTGTGCATGTAGTAGGGCTCAGGTTGTATTGCAGCAGGTGGTCTGTAGTTTGCTCTTCTCCACACTTGCATGTCATGGATTCCACTTTGTACCCCCATTTCTTAAGGTTGGCTCTGCATCTCGTGGTGCCAGAGCGCAGTCTGTTCAGCGCCTTCCAAGTCGCCCAGTTTTCTGTGTGCCCAGGGGGAGTCTCTCATTTGGTATCAGCCATTGATTGAGGTTCTAGGTTTGAGCCTGCCACTTTTGGACTCTCACTTGCTGAGGTGTTCCAGTGAGTGTTGCTTCGCGTCGACCAGAAGCGACCAATAATTGAACAAATAATATAAATAAATAAGTGAGTTTTCATCAGAAACCCAAAATGTCAAGCCTTGACTTCTAAACGTAGAGAAAGTAGTGTTCCTTCCTCAGATGTCCCACTTTGTGGTACAAAAGGCATTTTATCTTATCTCAATTGTATGAAGGTGATTGGCATGGTTAATCAGTGACAAGGGTGAAACTCATTTTCACCAAGGGCCACATCATAGAATCATAGAATCATAGAATCATAGAATCAAAGAGTTGGAAGAGACCTCATGGGCCATCCAGTCCAACCCCCTGCCAAGAAGCAGGAATATTGCATTCAAATCACCCCTGACAAATGGCCATCCAGCCTCTGCTTAAACGCTTCCAATGAAGGAGCCTCCACCACACTCCGGGGCAGAGAGTTCTCACAGTCAGGAAGTTCTTCCTAATGTTCAGCCTTATAGTTGCCTTCAAAGGACCATTTGTAACTGTAACTACATTGCTCTGACATTGAAACCGTCATGGGCCACATAATATAACATGGAGGGCTGAATCTAGCCGTGGGCCTTGCATTTGACATGTGTGCTACAGAGGATTCTAGCATTTAAAAAAAAAACCACCTTTCTATGAAAGCACACCCCACACAGCTTATTAGAGTGCAAATCACAATGGACAAAATGGACAATCTGTGCATGACCAGAACTGTCCATCAAAGAGAATCAGGTAATAGCCATTTAATCTGAAGTGCAAATCATTGCTAAACTACCCTCCTAGTAACCTTTCCCAACCTAGCCCATGCTGAGGAATGCTTGGAATTGCCTTTTGGCTACACCTGGTGTAGCCCACAATTTTTTATCACTCTCTTAGTACAAATTTTCTGTTTTTATTCAAAGCAGTAGATGCTACTTCAGTTTCAGCTAAACAAACCATTTTGAAGTGCCATAAGCCCAACATTTTTGTGACTTCCATGAAAGACTGAATGGAATACTTGTTCTGAAATAGCTCCTCTACGCTTGAGTAAGTTAAACACTGAGAAGCAACCAATTAAATAAAAGTTTACTGGGACTTCTTGTTGTAGTAAACTGGTTTAATATAATGGTTTGCCAAGCTTTTACTTTCATTTTCACTTACCATATCTATATTTACATAAAGCTTTTTATTTAAAAGAAATCCAATTTGGAAAGTCTTTAGCACCCTCTAATGGCAAAACTGTTATACAAGACCATAACACACCAAACATTCAAGCTATGACCAAGGCACCGTTAACTCTTAATTAGCATCCAAATGTAGAAATTAATAAATATTCTGTTCTATATAGAGGCAGGAGTTACACATGGCATGTGATATTAGGAAACACCTCAATGAGGGATTCTAGATTTTAAAAGTAAGACTGGGCTTTGGAATTAACTGAAGTCCAAACAACACCAAAGTCCTTCAGACCAGTTTGGATGGTTCATGAGGTAAAGTGGTTTCTTTCCTTCAAAGCGCACAGAGCTGAAATTTGATCTAGCTGAAGCTTTGTGGGAGCTTCAGTATCAGAAAGGCAGACAGTCTGGTGCCAATAATGATGTCTTTTCTGTGGAAAGCACCCAGAACAAGGGAGAAAAGAGAAGAAGGGTATGGAGTTACATGATCGACAGGGGAAAAATCAGCTATGAATTTATTTGTTGGTGGATGCATTTTTCCAGTGAATAGAAATTTGACCGTGTTCCTCCTTCCTAATGCCATGGTTCACTATTTTAAAAGGCTTTAAACTGGATATGAAGCATCATAATTTGCTAACCTCTACAACCCATCTTTCTGATACCCTTCTTCTTGGCCTTTTGGCTAAGATCAAGTGTAGTATCTGATACATTACTGATTTTCTACCTGGTGACCTCTATGAATTGTGCTATTTTGATGTAAAGTATTTTAAAAAACAGGAGCAGAAGGAAGAGAAAATCAATCATTTCCTCATCAACGTCATTTGTTTTTCTCCCACATAAACTGCTTTGCCTATATTTCTGAAATGTTGTAGGTTTCCTATTGAAAGCCACCTTTAGATTCTCCGTCATCTCCATTGCAATGATCCACAAGAAACATAGCAATAAGTTGTTTGTTTCAATACCCTCAAAATTGAAATATTACTCTTGCCAGAAATCTTCTAAATCTGATAATCTAAAATTTGGCTGACTTGACTCCTCTCTTAGGAATAACTTAAAATTTCTTCAAATTATGTCAAGAAATTTAAAAAGTTATTGGCAGTTTTATTTAGAAACAAAGCAAATTTTTGCAGCACATATCACAAAAAAAAAATCCCTTTGCCCCCATTTCGGAAATCTAGGTGGTGTAACCCACTCTTTAAAAGCTATTGAACCTGCCATCATCTTCCTGTAGATATGAACACAAAGAAGTTACAGTTTTGTATTTCCATTGATAATCAATGGCAGACATGGGTGATGTCTACATGGCCAAAAATACCACTCAATACTGAAGGGAGTCCACATGATATGCTACTGGATTCAGAGCAGAACTGCTACATCCAGCCCTCAATGGAACACGGGACTTACTCCAGGTCTTCCTGGAAGCTCCAGAGTGATCCTGCATTTTTGGAGATGTAGACATTAGGAGTATGCAAATCTTTATTTTTAAATCATAAGTTGTATGTAATTTGTAAGTTTTGTATATATTAAGAAAGATGAGGGGCATCCACGCAAAAAAGAATCAAAACTAACCCGGTACTTTTGCATTTGAATTCTGCAATGCTCAGAAGTCAGTTTCATTTTCAGTGCGAGCGAGGTGAAGCCAAAAAGGCTGCAATTCCTCTTTAAATTAAGAAGAAATAGGCTGCCTCTCGCCATGAGGAAAGAAAAGTAGCAGGGCAGGATGAACTGAGTGAGCTGGGAAAGAGACTGAAAGAGCACTGAATTCTGGAAAATGTAATTTGGGAAAGCGAGGAGCCCTATGGCAGAGAATTCAAAAGACTTTGCCCTAAACTACATTTTCCAGTATTCTGCTCATCATCAGAAAGCCCCAATGAGGATAGGGAAGATCTTTTTCCCCTCCATAGCAACAGCCGGCTAGCCACGCAGTTTACAATTCAACAAAAGAGGACTGACTGTTATTTCAATACTAGTAAGTAAATCTGTGCTAACCTGGGAAGAAATCCCTAAATTGAAATTCTATTGGTTAAAGATGTTCAATGTGATAGCTGCTGTGGCTTTTTAAAAAAATGTTTTATCAAAACTTTTTAAAAATCCCAAAAATCTGTAGATGTATGAATATTTCTGAAACTTGGGGGATTCATCCCCTGTTATCTTGTATCATTGTATAGAAAATTCAAGGAGATGGCTCACATAGTTTTTCTTTATAAAAATGTTATTAATCTGTGGATGAGTGAAACATTCTTAAACTTAGATGGGCTAATAGTTTTTTTTTCTTGCCAGGAGTGACTTGAGAAACTGAAAGAAACTTCAGTTGAAGAGAATTGGCCGTCTGCAAGGGGATGCCCAGATTTTTTACCACCCTGTGGGAGGCTTTTCTCATGTCCCCATGAGAAAAGCTTGAGCTGACAGATGGGAGCTCACCCTGCTCCCCAGATTTGAACTGTCAACCTTTCGGTCAGCAATCCTGTCAGCCCAAGGGTTTAACCAGTTGTGCACCGGGAGCTCCTGGCTAATAGAGGTAATCGTGTTCTATAATTGTAGCAAGTTTCATGCCAATAGCTCTAACAGTGAGGAAGCTAGGAGTCCCCAAAGTTTCCCCATTGGCACAATTACTTAGCAAAAAGTAATGATAAAGTATTTAACTCATTATGGTTATGATACAAACCCCATCCAATTTCATAAACACTTTAGAAATCATTTTCCCCACCCCCTAATTTCGTAATGACTATTGAAACATTTTTAATTGATCTTACAGGCCTAGTAGACATCTGAATCAGGCTTATCACTGTCTACACCAGTGTTTCTCAAACTGTGCTCCTCCAGATGGTTTGGACTTCAACTCCCACAATTCCTAACAGCTGACAAACTGGGATTTTTCTGGGAGCTGAAGTCTAAAACACCTGGAAGAGAACAGTTTGAGAAACACTGGTCTACACCATTAAGAGATCCACTGCTACATTGAAGCTTGCTGGTGATATTACATTTTTGGGGATGTTTCACCAGGGTGCCCAGTCATGTTACCGGATAGGTGACATCATCACACTTCTAATCACATGCATTATTGTCAACAAGCCTCTGGCATGCTGATGATGTTACATGTGATGCAACACCAGCAAAGGCCCAGATGCATCCTTGTCCTGACTCCTAGGCTGCATTGGAGCAGCTCCAGAGCACTTTAAACTGGATTGATCAGGTAGGTGTAGACACATTCATGGACATTTGAGGTTCCAGTGTGAACTCAGATTCAGGATCCAAGTCCAAATGTATTAGCTCTAAATCATTCTCCTCAGAAGAAGACCTCTTTCAGGAGCAGAAAATCGGAACCAAAACTGCATTAGGAGTTTGTGCCCCTATTTAGTCTGAAAAAAAGACCTTTAGACCTGAAAGAGATTTGATATCAGCAATACTTTTCTGGATCTCTGTGCTTCTTTGGGACAATGTCATTAACCTTTAGTTACCTTTTCCAATGACAAGCTTTTCTTCATGCACTCTGTTCTCCCTGCATTGAAACATCCCTGTGTGCATACAGTTGCAATAAATAGAGATGGCAAAACTGCAGAGCACAAGAACACATTCATATACCAAAAATTACCTGCCACAGGTGACATCTTTGTTCATTGACTGTCATCAAACAATCTAAACATGTGAATTGACAAAGACAAAAGCTGCTTGTTAAATCTTTAAATACAGAGTCATTGCTCCTTAATACACCAAGAAGGGAGTCCAGCAGTGTTATTACAAGACATTCCAATATATTTCTAGCCCCAGCACCTCTCTATGTGAAATTATGTACAAGGCATATGCCCACACCCAGGCAATTGATAAGATGCAGTCAGTGAATGTTTTCAGCTAGGTTTACAAAGGCTGAAGCAAACAGAATGCTCCCCAGTCTCAATTTCTCAACTACAGAGTAGTTTGCCAGCCATCTAAATTACCTCAGAGAGACTAGACACATTTTGGAAGATAATCGAAAAGAGAGACCGTGCACAGCCATCACCCTGTAATGAGAGATCAAGGCCATTTGCGATCAGTCGAATGTCTGTAAAAGACTTCTTGTTTCTGTTGTTAGAATTGTTCCAAAATTTAAGAAGAGACAAAGCACAATAGTAAGTGCTAAACTGTCAGACAGCTTACTTGTTTTTTAATTTACTAAAAATCTTCACAAGGCATAGTCTCTCTATTTCTCAACACACACACATGACACTTCAACAGGACATTATCTTCTACTGGAATTAAAAAACCCATCAATCTACTTGTCTAACATTTAGCAGTGCAAGAGCCAGTGTGGTGTAATGGTTTTGGTGTAATGAGAATTGGAGTACGGCTTTGGAAACCAGGGTTTGATTCTCCACTTAACCATGAAAACCAATTGGGTGACCCTGGGTAAATCACACATTCTCCGACCCGGAAATCCCCATGATAGGTTCACCTTAGGGTTGCCATACATCAGAAACAACTTGAATGCACACAACAACAATATTCTGAGGAGGAAAAGATTATGGTCTGCCACAGGTGCTTCATTCTACCTAGTGGTATGGTTGGCTGTATTCAAAACAAGGCACTTTATATTTTATCCATATCCTCTTCACATATTTGCATGATAATGGGTAGACAGGAGAATGATATTAAATCCATCCTCTCCACAGCCCTGGATCCTTTCACACTGCATAATTATAATACTATATTTCACTTTAGCTACCAAGGCAGCATCCTATGGAGTTCTGTGTTTTGCAGTTAAGGGAAAAATTTAGAATCTCAGCTAGAGAGCTTCAATGCCTCACCAAATGACAAATCCCAAGATTCCATCGGATGCTGCTGTAACAGTTGAAGTGGAATGTATTGCCGTAATTGCATAGCATGAAAAGACCCTTTATCTCTCTGTACTAAGTTACTCATAGCAGTTTTTCCTCAGCAGTACAGAACAAAAAGTGGTATCACAAGAGAGGCTCTGTTCTTATCAGATGTATTATTTCTGAGCATCAGATAATGTACTCTGCATTAAGTCTGCTGTGCAGATGCTCCCTGTGATTTCATGACCAGTCATGAGGGGAGCAGGAGTTCATCAACATCTGGAAGGTCTCTGATACACCAAACTTTGCCATATAGTTTTTAAGCAAACCTAAGAGTTTACAAATAAAAGTATTACCTAGATGGAAATAACAAGCAATAACCCAGCTAGACATGGACACTGTCTATTAGGGTTAGGTTTAGGGTTAGACCATGGGATTGTGGGACTTGCAGTCCAAAAATAACTTGTTCAAGATCTACCAGTGAGATATCAATAAAGATCAATTACAAGGTCATGAAGACAAACTTGGTTTGGAAATGAGCTTTCGATGAGACAAGCAAGGGCATCTTCCTGCTTCCTTTTGCAAAACTGAAAATAAGAATCTGTTTGGCCCAACAAGCAAGAGGTTGTAGGCAGTGAGACCATGTATGGGTGCAGTTAATGTAAAGATTTATTTAAATGACAGTAGATAAAACTGGTGATTGGATTCGAAGATGAAGGCACCATGTAACAGGAATCAGAGGTAAACTGGATTAAAGAACAACCCTTAAGGTAGCTATGAAAACCTACTGGGCAAATTACACTCTCTCCGCCTTAGAGGAAAACAATGAAAAACATCCCCCCAATGAATCTTAAAACCAAAGAAAACCTTGTGATAGGGTCATCCTAAGAAATGGTTGACTTGAAGGGACATGACACCAACAATCCAAAGGTAAAAACCAGTTTTTAAGGGTTTTTCCATTTTACCCCATGGGCCCCATCATGAATTATCTCAAACCTCTGCCCAGACATTAAATTTGCATGTAAGTCAGGCAGTTGCACTGATGAGTAAACAAAGGTGGTCATGT